AAGTACCAACAGTTTGCCGCCCTGCTTTACACTGCGAGCTACATCGTAGTGAGCGAGCAGTTCAGGGCGGTTCACCACCACCACGTCCGCTTGTTCAACAGGTTCCGACGTCACTGGTCCATTGCCACCGTCTAGAGCGATACGCACCTCCAGTGTCGACACGGGACGCTCTGCAGCCTCCTCGCCGGCACTGTGAGTCACCACAGCATTCACTCGCGTGGCCGGGTTCTTGTTCAACAGGTCCACAGTCGACTCAAACAGCTTGTTAGTCTCGGTACCGGCACGCGCAGTGTCCGATTCCACATCGTCGAAGCCGTAAAAGAGAAATTGCTTCGTGTAAGCGGCCGAGCCCTCAAGCTCCAGCGACTCACCATACACCACGTCAAACTTCGTTGCTTGGCTGCTCTCCGATGTTGCGTTCACCAGAGCAGCATCGTACAGTTTCTCACTCTTAGCCACAACGAAGGCGCGGCGAGAAGAGGCCGTCGCCAAGTGACGCAGAACAGCACGCCCCATACCCACTGAGAATGTGGAGTTGCGGAATACACCGCCGTACACGCCAGTCACCACGACGGGGGCAGCTTCCACGACCGGCTGCCAGTACGTCGATTGGAAGAACACCTGCAGATTCTGAGTGAGCAGACCACGCTGGAAAGTCAACGCACTTGGCGCCACATTCTCCAGAGCAACCACACGTTTAATTGTGGTCGGAAGCGCCTGCGCAAACATTCTGTGCGACCACGGAAGTAGCAGACGGACCTGCACAACGCCGACCTTGGTACCAAGCATTTGCTCGTACGCCGCGGCTTGTTTCAGTGCTGCAGCAGCCTCACCAACAACCACCACAACAAACTCAGCATCCTCGGCACCAAAGTACTCGTACACACGGTACTGATGTTGCAGTACGTGAAACAGGTCGTCCATTACTTTCTGCACCTGCTCCACAACATCTCCAATTTGTGCCGTCGAGTGGAGCGCAGCGAGAGTCTCGAGCGACTCCTCCGTCAGCGTCTCTACCTTGGCCATCTCACGAGCGACACGCGCCCCATCGTAGAAGTGAATCAACAGCTTTCGGAGGCGCTGGGCGGCCACGTGAGCCACGACTGCCAAATCATGGCATTCCTGAGGTGAAGCCGAGTTAAGCAACAATGCACCTGAGTGTTGTAACGCGTACAGTGGCTCGTACGAGCTGGCGACAGCCATGTCACGGCGAATTGCCTCGCACGCCACATGAAAAACGGCGGGCGCCGACGCCGCGGCGTTCTGTGCCAGCTGGAAGAGGCTGGGCAAGAACATCGGCAATGTCTGCGACGGGATGAGCGCGGCCGAGGACGCACCCACAGCCAGCGCGCCACGCACAGCATCCGCTGCTCCCGGACGAATCTCGAGCGAGACTACTCGTGCGCGGGCTTTGCGCTTGATCTCCTGTGTTTGCGCGCCGTCGGCCGTCGGCAGTAATGGGTACTCGAAAACGTTGGCGCTCACATGGCTGGCCACGCGGAGCACAGCTTCAGCGCCTGAGCAGAAGCGTTCGGTACGCGGGAAGAGGCGGCTGCTAAGTTCCGAGTGAGCAGCTCGCAGCTTGTGCTGCGGCGTGGGAACCAGCGACGCCGTGGAAGTGTCGCTCGCGCTCTCATCCAGCACATCCACATCCAGTGTGGCCTTGAGCACGGAGCTGCCGGCCGACGTGGACACGAAGCCGTCCTCGATCTGGTAGCTGGTGGTCGACATGCGTATCGGGACTTTGGCGAGTGCCTTCAACGTCAGTGAATGGATTGTGCGTTGTCGGCGTTCATGACAGCTTCGGCTGATGGGGACGTATCGAGCTTTGGCCGATTTGATTCGGAGATGTTTGAGCCAATAAAGATGTCGAACATGAACGTGTCAGTCGTGATGAGGGGATGGACATTTCAGCTGTAAGCGCGACGATTACGCACATGTACTAGCGAAAGAAACGGCTTGCATAGGAGCTACGACTACCCCTCGGTAGTAATCCCAAGACCTGGAATACACCCTAAATACTACATGTAATACGTTTGCTGTTGTGGCCCACAACTTGTGGGTGGGATGATTAACTAAGAGAAAGTCCCCAATTGGACAGGAGCCGAACGGCCATTAAGTTCGCATGTTTAAAACCCAGTTCCTGTGTTAAGTTCGCGTGTGGAGGCCACAGCAGCTCCAGACATGACAAAAGTGACCTTGCTCTTCGAACGTCTCCAGCAACGCACCACTGGGCAAGTACGGAGGGTGTCAAAGAGCCGTCACACATAGGTGATACCCTATGTAATGATCTACCGGCACAGAACTCACATTTGAGTTCGGTCGCAAATTTGAGCTCGGCTGCACGTCGAAGCACTGTTGTGTCACAAGGAACAGAACATACTCCTATTTCCAGCGTTCAGCATATCTTTAAACGCTCATGTGCTTACGCTATGAAGAAACCATAGCAAAATAAACAAAGTCGAGCATTCTTGCTAGATAGCGTGACACTGGTGAGAAACGTTAGTAGCATGGTCTTAACTATGTCGGGTCTGGGCTGATTGCAAACGTTCTACCACTGTACAAAAATGTTTCTGCATGGTCAAATAGTCTTGATATTTTATGTACTTCGATTACTACATGTAGCTGATATCAACGCACATTTCGCAATTGTTGTCCTTTACTTTCAACCTTCAAATACACAGCAGCACCGAGAAAAGTAAATTTGA